AACAAATTAACAATTATTTGACGTCCCATATCTTTACTCAAGAAATTACAGCTGATGAACTGATGGAGATGCACAAAGCTGAAATAAACCAGTCTAAGTGAGCAGCTCTGAGGACGTCTGTGCACACGTAATAGTTGTGCGCGTCGTTCACTATGTGCGTGAGCTCATTAAAATGTCATTGCCTGTATTGAAATGCCGAGGAAGCCATATCTAAACTAGAGTAGAACATTTTACGAATGTGAGGGCAATTTCGGATTGGAATTAGGATTCGACCGGGACTATATGAACGGCATCCAAGATTGAAATAAGCTTAGCACTTTAAGATCTCGTCTATCTGGATTTGAAGCTTAATATATCGGATTGAAGTTGTGAGGCATGCTGACTTGGATGGCTTCTTCTGAAGTGTCTGTCATGGTTTTCTTTTTCATCTTCAATAAAATGTGCTGTTGTTAATAAATCCCGACCGGTACGTACGCTTGACAACAGTTTAAGATAAGTGTATCTGTCTTTCCTATTCTATCTAAAGCCTTTGTTAATTATAGATCGCTTGACATTTCCAAATCTATTGGTAAATCTTTACAGCACCTCGTTCGAACGTCTCAAAGCAGTGTATTACAGTATCACTCCCGTTATGTGTTTCCGGAAGTTTGTCGTCATTCGGAACTGTCTCAAATAATTATCGCCAATGCTTTGATGTTGAGTCATGCTAGTCGAGCACTGCCTGCAGCCTGACATGAGTGAGGCTGAGTAACATTCGGATACCTCTTGCTTGATCGTATGATCTCTTGATATTCGGACACCCTTGTGAGTCAGGCCAATAGATCGAGCAACAATCGGATGTCTCTCTTTTCTTCCTTTGATTCTGTGCCATTCGGACACTTGGCTGGAAAGTCACAATACTTTAATCATGAACTATAAATAAAATGTCTGACCCGAACCATAACAACATGCTATATATTCTACAATGTTACTTACCGTCACAGGAAAAATTCTATACTATGCTTATTTATAATGTCTGTCCTCTACTCAAGCTTTACTGTAGATCACGCTACGGTGCGACATACACGCGGAGGCAAGGTAGTTCCGTGCCTGCCATGAAGCGTTGCACGCAGAATCAATGCTATCTCGATATCTCTCACTAATTTACTTACGTCTACACTACGCTTGATTCCTGAACTTTCGAGAGAATATAGCAAATCACACATTTTATAGCCTAACGTTGGTTTTACGATCCCGAATCAAACCAAGTATTCGGTCTCACTCGAACAAACGATCTGACGAAACGATCTAGCTGTGTGCATTCTCATAGAGATACAATCCTCCTTTGTCAGACTGACTTACTTGCTACAATGTATAACGAAGCTAGAATCGGTATACTGTTATCTTAGATATTATACCAAAAGCAATGATGCATATTTATAGGTGGTTTGTAGAAGCAATCTTAATTTGCGTTAGAATTTATCTTGTCATTATTTTCAATAGCTCGTAATCGGGATTGTATTTTAGTTGATAGCAATCTTGTATGTTTACCTAGTATAGGGTTTCTTCTTAACGTTTGTGAGACTTCTTTCGCGTTTTAACATACCATTTCTCCTTGAAGGTTGAATTTTCTCTTCAGCTCTGGAGCTTGCTATACCATAACGAATGATGGTTCTATGTTTCTGAATGTAACCGCTAAAAATAGAAACATATACCCTGAAAATAAAGAATAACAAAAACGGTAGTCGATTTTATAATACCACAGAATATCCACCTCCTTTACATCAAGCTTTTGAGAAAATCCGTGAAAATTTGTTCCATCGAATAAAAAACAACATTTACACTTACCTAATTATCAGGTACATGTATGCCGTGAAGATATTTTCACCACTCAAATTTGACAAGCTTATCGAATGTTGCATCAATGCCGTCAGCCTTGACACCTAATTTTTTTTCGTAGTCATTCATGTCGTGGACAATGTTTGGTAAGGTCGCGAAGATATATTTCATCCAATGATTTGCGTTACATCCAGGTAATTATGACATTGTGATCCTTATTTGTGGTTCTTTATTTTCGTGTTTCCGAGTAAGTGCTGAATAGTAGTTACAAATAATATGGTATTGTCAACATCCAACTACTCAAATCATTTAGTGTGATACTTAACCGCTTGGAAAAAAATGAACGACAAATTGTTCTACAATGCGGAAACAATACATGGCCACAAAAATTAATATGCTTGCAGTATACATGTACGTTACCTCGTGTAATATTGACGCCGTAATAACCTCGCGCCTACATGGTCAATAGGATCGAAATGGAGATGCTTTTAGTAAGGTCAACATCCCAAACCCCTGTTTGTCTGGCTCTCCTATACCACAATGAGACGCTGTAACAAGGGCGAGCCGTGATGTGATGGTCGCTAGTGCAATATATTTCAAGAAAACCTCATAGAGACCATTTTCTCGACCTTATCCCACGCAATTTGAATCTTCCCTGAAGCCTTTTTCGCTGAACTGCTTCATACGAAGGTATACCAATAGTGCAATACTGTGATGGAATGGGATTTTAGTGTACTTTAGAGGAAAAAGTGCTGCGTCTTCACTTTTTTTTTTTTTTTTTTATTCTTATATATCAGTATTGACTAACACACTGGTGACTAAAGCTAACAAATAAAAATGGAGACTAGACAGAAAAAAAAACTATAATTGAAGAATATCGGGACACATGCATGTTCCCCCTACAGTGAGTGTCTACGTTTAAAAAACACAACTTTGCCATGCTTGAATAACTTGCTTCTTTTAATATCACATTATCAAATACAAATACTATCTTACTGTTGACAGAGACTTCATTAATCTGCTTGTAGCTCAGAGTGTCTTGATATAAACTCCCAAGATTAATTGTCCGACGGATTCATCTGTAGTAACTCTCAACTCAATTTGTGTTTTCTAATCTATCATCTTTGACAGATGACAATCAATTCATGAAATTGCGTTCCATCCTTTTAGGCGAAGGAAGGAACGTTGATATTATTGAACTTAAGGCAATCGGTGCTAGTCAGGTTATGTAGCTTTATAAACTAACCTGACAACAGAGGATTAGAGTATGACCACAACACATTGACTAACAGATCAACTTTGAACATTAATTTCACATCAGGATGTAGATTACAATTGTTACGATCGGACTGAAATTGACATTTCAATCGTGATAGTTTCAGCAAAGGAACGTGTATATAAGTTTCACTTGTAGTGTTACAAAGTTTTCCTGTAAATTGATCCAGAAAATTGGGAGAATACATTGAAAGTGAAATAAGACCCTGTCGCTATCACCGGAAGCGTTCATGAAATACATACGCAACCAATGTTTAACTTTGACCAAACAAATATTCACAAAGGTATCAGCGTATATAGCATTTCTAAGCAAACTGAAATCAAAATATGTCAAAAAGGGAAGATAGCGAAATAACTAATGATCCATCGGTATTTTGTTTACGTAGGATATGATGCATACTGTCCTGGCTTCAAATAAAAACGTCACCGTGACGAATGCCACATGCGGTACCGGAAACGTTTTATTACTGTTTTGTTTCACTACTTTTCATAACCATACATCGAATGACAGGCGGCTTGGATGGAACATCAACCGAGCCTCGGACCACCGCCTGCAAACAAAATGCATGGTGACAATTTTACAGCGGACTTTACACTTTCATCCATTCGCCAAATAGTGAATTGTGGTCAAGACGTAATAATTTGCATTCCTTTTTGATAAGGGAAACAGACTTTTTCGAAAGCTCGCGAGTACAGTTTTCACTTGCTATTTGTCTTAAAGATTCTCAAATTATATTAATAGCAAACTGGTGAATGTTATACCGTACATACATGTCAGTTTTTCTCCTTTCTACTGTTCTCTTTATTCCTCAGTCTTACTTCAACTCATAGTGATCAATATTAAAAAGGTCATCAAGATGTTATCTTACCTACCGCAGTATTACAAATCTAATTCGCTCCTACACATATTTTCGTGCTAGGAGTCTGGAAATCGTAAAATTGTATATATAACATACTCACTGATTTCATCAGTGTCGTATTGCAGTTTGAGACTGGTCGCGTCACCGCTTTTCTGAAATTTCTAAGTATCAGTCTAGATGACAAAGATTGCAAAGTCAATTTACCTTTTTCATGCACTGATGTTTTGTGCCAGGGTTCTTTTTCACTATATTTAATACCGCTTAATGTCACACTTCTCTTTCGTTCGATTTTATCGCCGGGTATTATAAAGCAGTCTACCTGAAAATGTTTCACCTGCATATAGCACGAGACGTGCATCTGAATACAAATCGTAACATCTGTGTTATGTATAATCTGATAAGTCCTACAAACCCGGAGCGTTATGTCAACGGCCTGCATCGTCTAGACCTCGGACGCGATGCTTGAAAAATTCTTCATCTGCCGAAAACCTTACTAACTAGCCTACATGTGTAGTCGTCTACCTTGGAGTATATTCTCAAATCAAATTTAGGAGTCTCAAGTGACGAACCAAAATACTCTTTAATCAAAGTGATGGACAAAAAACATTCATCGATCAAAGTTACTGAGGTAATACTATTATAGCCTCGCGTACTCCGGTGAACGTCTAGCGCTGTTGTAGACCACTTCCGGTTGAAGCAATGGTCATGAGAATCGACAACTGACCGGACACGTGATTGTCTTTCGTTTTCTGTTTTAGTTCTTTCGGTATATTTCCGGATAACATGGTGAACATATTTCCTGTAGGCGAAGACGTGAAGCACTTCATTATCAACCGTTTTCGTTGATGTGCTTATCATCTGTCTTTAATGCTATACTACAATGACGATGTGCAAAGTACAGTGAAATTGTGTCGAGGAGCTCAAAATTTTGATTTAATGTACTCTTATAAGTTTCATAAATGGTTAAATATACGGTAAAAGTCGTTCAAGGAAAATTAGATTTAGTCATAATCCAAATTAAATGGTTTTATCTACTTGTTCTTGCAGGATTCCCGGAAATGCAAGATGGAAAAGAAAGGGAAACCTCGGTCGTGCATCCCCGTGCCTGTCAGTCATTCCCCTGTGAAAGCCACACCTCCTCCAATCATATGTAGCGACGGGACAATCACCACCTCACAGGTGAGAACTTTTGATTAATTTAAACATTTCAGAAATTACATGTTATTATTTACAGTACACTTCTCCGTCGACTTCCGGTATACATGTACCGGTACTGGTAATTATCTAGCGGTACACCGAGTGATAATGAAACGGACTTTTCTTAAACGAATGTTATTTTGTTTGCAAAGAACATTTCGATCAACATTTTTTATAATACTAACATCGCCTGCCCAGTGTAAACTTCTAATTAATCAACTAATTGTACCCATACTTGCAACGTTATGCGATATCGACGTTTTAGTACAAATTCAAGTTCCATTTTTCCGTTTGTAATTACAGAAATTAAGTATCATACGTGAGTTTCATTTTCATATGAGGTTTATGAAACCAGTCTTTGAAATTGACATTTACAGGTCCTCTGGAAAGGTAAAATGTAAAAACAAGAATGACGAGTTTTAAAATCTCATAAGAAACGAATTTAAGATTCTGTTTATCAAATAACTTTTTCAAAATTCTTAAAACTGGATTTTAATTCATCTAAATTGGCAATATTATCACTTTATATTTCTTCTTTGGTGATATGATGACATGGAGTTATGACGTCACAATGACAGGAAATTACAGCTCCGACAAAACATGTATGCAATGGTTGTTATTAAACTGAAAACATGATGTAGTTATATGATAATGTTGTAATTTGGCATTTAAGAAAGCAGCAACTGTATAATATAGTTTACTACTACCTTATTTGGCTTTACTGCCCTGTGCCTTTTGTATAATGTTAGCCAATATCGTTAACTGTATGACCCAGCTTATTACCTTATTTGGCGTTATTGACCTAATTTCGTGTCTTTTATATCTTGTTAATAAAAGTCAACTCAGGACCAAACTGAAATTTAACATAAAAAGATAAAGTGACCATGGACGTTAGTCGATTTAGAAAGTGTGTTTGGCGTACTGGTCGTTGCTGATCTGAACAGGCGACATTTTATTACCACCTAATTAAGACAGACTTAGCTCGGTTTTGATTTATTATTGAAAATTTAGATCTTTTATCATATAGGGATTAATGCGCTCGTGATTTCGATACTCTCGCTAATCAAGGTTTAGAAATTATCAGTACATGTATTTGACTTAAGAAGAGACATATATAACACATGTCTCTGACTTAAGTTAAAGGGAGGACCATACATAAGTTTACTTTCAAATCGAATTTCAGCTAATTTTCTATGCACCTTTATAAACACAGCCGTACACAAGAGCATCAGCACCGATTTTTGCTATTTCGTCCACGTGACCGGCGGGAATATCGCACTCTCGCTCTCATAGTTAGAAAAAAGAGACACGACTACAGGTTACAATATGAATGTCAATCAGAAACGGGGATATGGGGACACGACAGTTTCAGTATAAGACTATTAAGGACATGTGTTTCCTCGCTGATTATATGTACGTACATGGTTTCCATTTGAATGATCAAATGATCCACGCTTATTTGTTCGGCTATGAAATCGTTCAATATTCAATTTGATTTACTGGCAAGATCATTTGCCTTTCTTACCAGAAATAAACTCTTCAAATGCAGTTGAGTTTATAGTTTGCACGTTTCCACACCGAATCTGTTAGTTGAAATACATCGACGATATTCTTTTTAATTCCACGGTAAAACCTAAAAATCCCAAAGATTTCCTATGGGCCTAATATTTCCCATCAACAAAACTTTCATTATACAAAATTAAGCTCTGAACAGAACATTTTGTGATTAATGACCCGTTTTATGCTTCAAGGGGAATAACTCCCACATGTACAGTAACAGTCTCTAAGGGGCCGCCTGCGTTACTAAGACAGACAGTAGACAGAACAGATGGTTGATGACTGTGGTTTCTACACCAATGATCTTGTTACTTACACACAGAGCTGATGTGTGGCGTCCACCAGCAGTTATCAGCTTCAGGTTATTGTGAAAAATGAATACAAGAAATACTGTCGGTGATTATGGAGAATTAGCAGAATCATCCAAAACTCAAAAGTATGTCCTTATTCTATTCATACTGGCCACGATTACTAAGTAGTGAAGATATTTCTTTAACGTTCAGTTTTATCAAAACTTTTGACAACTATTTTGAAGAGCAGAAATTACTTTTTAAAATTTCAGTGCTAGAATATGATATATCCTTCACTGTTTCTAAAGTAATATTTGATATATATGTATGCAGATAGCGAGAGAAATTGGGGATAGGAATTGACCTAAGGGATGTGTATTTCCGGTGGGTCGGAAAGAAACCACTGATATGACATTAGGGTTGAGTGTTTAATATTCCCTAGGGTGGGGATAGGTTGTGGGTGGTCACTGGGACCATGTAAGCCACAGAGGGTTGGGGATAGGATTGTGGTGTACTTGTATGAGTCACTGAGTGCATGTAATAATATCATTATTCAATCCCATGGGGTAAGGATGTAATCATGTGATATAGTTGGTTTCTGTGATAAAGAATTCCCCGGGGATGGGGATTGAATCACTACAGTGTTTGTCAGATCAGTGATGTTTAAAATTAAAAGTATATTATAAGTATGTCATGTAGATTTAGTACTGATAGATTATCAATTTTTTAACAGAGGTTGAGGGAACTGGTTAGAGGTTAAGTAGGGTCAATATGTCAGAGGTCACACAATTGTACAGACATAAGAAGAGGGTTTGGAGAATGGTGAGAAAATGAAACAGAAACTATTATGACAAGTTATATATTATAAAGGTGGAATATAAAGGTTCTAGATGGTGAAACGGGCAGGAGATGCTCTTTAAGTACGCAACCAATAAAAAAATTGAAACAAAACCCTGCAGTAAGGCCCAGGCCTGAGGGGGTCAACACAGGACTTAGTCAGAAGGTGGGCTTATTACAGAACAGATTGATGATATGTGTAATATCATTTCACTGAACAGCAATGTATTTGATTAAGTATCAGGGGATTTTATAAAGTCAATTGAACTCGAGTAAATTGAATAACTTGCTTATACCAGACAAAGACTTATTCCTGGTTACACAAAATCAAAATTATTTTATACAGATAGTTTTCATGATATATAAAAGTATATGTAATGCGGAGGTAGATATGATCTACTTATCTGTTTGGTGAAGCTCAATCTCTGTATACATGTATATCCTTGGGCATGATCAAATGTTCAATTTCCTCAAACAAAACATCATACGGAGTAGATGATATGGCTAATCTTTGTTACGTAACCTCACCACTAGACACGATGTTGCTTTAATGCATCTTTGTAGCTTCTTGAAATAACAGAAATATCCATTTATGATAAATCTTTACAATGCGGGGTACAGGAAATTTCAATTAGGCTTACTGTTTTATCATTAAGAGACATCAACCTGGATTGAATATTAACAAACATATCAATACTATTTAAAATGCACATTTTGATAGGGTCAGCTAAATATGGTTACCAAAAACCTGGGAGGAAATTTGAAAAAAAAGGGAATTTATAGAGTCAAAAACTTAAACCCTTTTACATGGTTACATGGTGTGTATTTTAAGCTAAAAGCAGTTAGAACTGACTCTAATTAAATTGAAAATTTAAAAGACGTAAAATTTCAAGAACGTGTGTTGGAGAAAAAAAAGATAATTGGATATTTGTGTCCATCGAATATGAAGGTCACTCATGCTATTGAGTTGCTCCAACATGTCGACAATAGGACGATCAAGTTGACATTGATTTGTGCCTTTCCTCTATGTTAGACTTACATACTGCCAGTGTTGATTTTCTTGTCTGGATTTTTTTGTCATCCAAACAAATCAGGATTTGTACAAAATGACATACCACCTGCCTTTGTTCAAACATTGCAAGTTCTCATTTCCGTAACTGAATGTATAGGTAATTGAGTTAGAGCATCCTAGAAGAATGTTTTGTATTTCGAAGTGATAAGAGTTGGACTGTATTTACCATATATGGATTAGGGCAATGTCACGTCAATTTCAAACATCCTTCGGCTTTGTCTAGGTAGAAATGTCTCATCCATTTGTCCTTGGCATCTGAACGGAATTTCCTTTCCGTGGTATTATTTATCCTTCAAAGTTTAATGTTATTTTAGAGTCACCTTGAGCACTCCAGAAGAAAACTGAATATTTTTTCGGAACAATCTAGTGTCATCAGAGTAGTTTTATAGTGTAATTTGTTACTTGCATGGGAATCTTTTTAAACCAATATCAAGGGAAAGTATTTTCTAAATCTGGAACCCAGTATTGATTTGACCTTCAATTAATTGCCTTATTTTTCTTCCAAGATAAACTTTTTTATAATATACATTTGAATGGAATCATGTGTGGGAACATCTGACACAAATGGTAATGTAACAATCAACCTAACCCAATCAAAGTTTGATTGTTTACGCAATTTCCCTTCAACTTGATTTTGATTATTCTAATCTGCCTAGCTGTATAAATAGATAAAAGCATGTGGGGAAGTAACACTGCAATAGACCAAACAATTGATGAACTTCCTGTCTAAGTAATTCTATCATGATCCTCAAATATCAGAAATACATTTAAAGAGAACAAGTTTATTGAAATTTGATATTTATAGATATTTACATATTTTTATTAAAATGTCATTTAACATTTTATAAAAGGTTATAAAATAATGGCAAATAATTTTGTTCATGACAGTGTAGAAACCTACTTATGTGCCTTTTACAGCACATGTGATATGCATTTGAAATACTGTACTTTGGAGCGCCACAGAGAGGCTGGAAGAAATTCACTAGCACAATGGTCAGAGGTCATCTCTCTGACTCTGTAAGCATCATTAGATTAAACTGATCTCATTTGTTTCCTCAGCTCTGATTGGTTCAATTGAATAGTGTTATTACATAAAATTCCAATTCAATTTAGAAATAAAAAGATTGTCATTTGATAAAACTAAAATAAAATTCACTATTAGATTATCGATTTTGATAAAAAAAATAAATTACGAATTGCAATCGACTAAAATAGATCATTTGATA